TACTCCGACTCTCATCATCATTATCAGGATCAAACTTCTTTAACCTAAGACAAACCAGTAAAGTCTTTCATCAACACAATTATAACAAGACATATATTTATGTATTGTACAATAGTTGAGTGTGAGATACCTTGAAGGTAGGTATTTAAAAAGCAGTTCCTGAAAATCAATCTTCTCTTCCTTCTTGCATTTTGTGTTTCGAACACGTGCCGAGCGTCGCTTGGCCGTGTCCCCACTATCTTCTACTGCCACGCGTTTCCTCTTTGGAGCTTTCTTTACTTTATCTGACATTGAAACATCCATGGCAGTAGCTGTAAACATACAAATAATTATTATATATTATTATACATAGGCAGGTCACATCAACATTTCTCTTTATAAACGACTGACCGACAATGGGAGCAGAAGTGGTGACCTCCACGGTGGTGTGGGCAGGTGTAATCTGAGGCTGGGCGCTGGGTTGGGGCAGCACTGCAGGCTCAGGGAGTGGCATGGGGGGCGGGGGGGAGCTGGGGCTGCTGCTCAGCACAGTGGGCGGGACCACACTGACAGGGCTGCTGGGCTGGGGGAGGTTCTGGAGGAAGTCTGGGTCCCGGTACTCCGATAAGTCAATTCTGCGGCCAAGACTCGGGCGTGGTGACTCACATGTGGTCTGATGTCGGTACATCGCAAGAAGGCTTTCACCCACATGCTTCCATCTGAGATACAACATTTATATAAAGGGATGTCACTTATTCACTGCAAGAAAGAGCTTTAGGCAACCGTACATGTAGTGCTGAAATCCTTTACTTCAATATCAGTCGAGTTAAATCAAGATTTTAAGGAACATATATACTGTTTCTGCATTTTCTAGCAACACTTTTCTAAGTATTAATTAATCCATTGTCACAAAGAAAAATGGCCTACAAAGAATGTATTCTATGTTTAAATTGCAATAAAGTTGTTAGATATTGTAATAAATATACTACTTGCAACCAAAATATATATTACAACTATAATAAGTTCTGCTACTAAAACACAGCAAATTGCTTGTTGAATATTATTACCAAAATGATTCTGTTGAACAAATGTAGGCTAAACCACCCAGACAGAAAGAACAAAACGTTCGCAGCACTTACGAGAGGCAGCGGATGGGCTGAATCAGGACAAGGTCTGCTTTTGGTTCACAGTGAGAGAGAGCCTGTCGGCGCTTTCGTAAGTCTAGTGCCTCTTCCACAATGGATTTGCATTCCTCCGTCTCCACTTCCACATAGTGAATAGACATATCACTGAAAATGAAGCACATCACAGAGCTTTGTCAGTGATGTAAACTTGTAGAGCTTCATTTAGGGAACATTCAAAAGAGATGGAGGAATACAAAGTGAGCGGCTTCACCATTTCATGAACATCTGCATTGTGTCCCTCTTCAGGCAGGGCTGCTCCTCAAAGATTTTCTCCTTCAACACCAGGCCTTTAGTGTAACAATGATCCCTCTCTAGGGCTTTGGCGATGAAGTACAAACAACCTGGGAGAATGTGTGCAGATAACAGTTACTTTGCTTTCTATACTTGAGTTATTACATTGTTAATGAGTGAGGTTACAGAGCAAAGGGGATTATAATGAAGCATTACATACAGGTGTAGTCACTGAGTGTATAGAGAATAGTTATGAGGTTGTCCAGGCAGGGCCAGTGGTCTGGGTTACAGTGCAATCCCTCCTCAAAGGCATGTCGAGCAAGTGGAATGCGCACAAGTCGCACAGCCACCTGACCGATTTTGTACCACATGTTTACGTCAGTGGAATCCAAAATAACTGCCTAAAAAAAGAGCAAAGCAGAACATAAGGTTAGTACTTTTATTCATGTGTATCTAAATGACGCATTTAAATCTGACCTGCCAAAAAGGATAATAAAGAAAAAGTGTTCAACTGGCACCATTTCCTTTGATTTACCTCCAAATAGAACTCCATAGCCGTCTCCAGGTCATCCCGCAATGCAGACATAGTAGCCAAGTTTTTGAAAGTAGAATATTTCAACATCAGTCCAGGATGCTTGAGACCCACTTTGTGATCATCCGAGGGCATAGCCTAAAATGATTAGAGAATAAAATCTAATTTGGCACCAAACGCAGAGCAATGCAGAATTCTCTTGCAGTCAATCAATATGAATGATTATACACACAGCTTTTGTACAAGAGCAGGGTTTGTCCCACCACAAAGCCAAAGTTGAAGTGCATATTGTGAATCATATATTTGGCGTATCATTGCAGCAAAAATAAAATGTAATATTTGGAAGGCAGGTTTAAAACGGATTCAAAATGTATACTTACAACAGTCTCACCAAGTAAAGCACAAGTGACGTCATAAGTTAACTGTTTTGGCACCAGTTCCTAAGAGCCCAGAGGCCTGTGGCAATGTGTGAAATATCTTACCTATATATACTAATCAGTATTTCATTGTGGTGGATAGGACTTGTATTGTATTAAAGTGTTATTGCTGTGATATTTTGAGAGTCTTGACAGCACTATATAATGAGTGATATATTACCTCTTTGAGCAGTGGAGTCTTGAGAAGCTCATGATAGGCCCTGGCTGACTCCTCAAACTTGTCATGTTTTTGCAGATCTAAAGCTTTGTGATATAAAGCAAATGCCTCAGCTTCCTGTTGACAGAAATAGAAGACCAATCAGAAAACCCATTAAGATGTACAGAGGCAAAAAAAAAGGTCTGCATCAGCTGTGCAGGCCAATCTTGCTGATTCATCCGCACAAAATCTGTACCTGAGCCTCTTTTGTCTGACTCTTGTTACTTCTCAAGGGGTCTTGGGACTCATCTGCAGCTGTCGAAGCAGCATTCAGCGCTGCTATGCGAATCTGTAAAGGGCACAGACAAAGTAGCAAACCCCTTTAGCAAGCAGATCCATAACTCCTGTTAATATACATCAGGATTGGGAACGAAGATGCATTCAATTATTAAAAGCCTTACCATTTTAATATGTTGTGATGAGACCTTCCACCTTCACGGTTTGTAGCTTTTGCTGGAATCTACACAGATGCATGGAAAGCAAACAAAGATAGGAAGAATGAAGGCAGGCAGGACATCAATTCAGCAAGAAAAACGGGACATAACGTGGAAAAACGTATAGAGAAAAACGTTAGATTACATTTCACAACACTGCTGCGACAAAATCATTTCCCAATTTGGCATGAATTAGGTATCTATCTATCGCTTACCAGTCTAAAGTCTCTACATTATTCATTACGTTTGTGCAGTTTTGAGTGTATGCTTGTCAACTGTTATCACGTAACACAATCATACATCTTGGGACCGGCTAGCTAACCTCACCAAAATGCAACTTAAAACTTAGCATAGTTAGCTTAGCTCTGCGGTGGTGCATTGTTCCAGTCTGTCCGGAGCAGGTATTAAGCTTCACCGGTTGTTATTATTACGAACAAAACCCTCGAAAGCATGCTTAATATAGATCGCTGACATGCTAGCAGATTCACCTGGCTCACATTATTGTCTCATTTAGCTGGTATTAGCAGATCATATGAGCTAACATTAGCTGGTGTTTCACCGGGTGACCATCACTTGCAAAGCTGGGCGTCTTACCGTTCATTCCCGATTTAAAAGCATTTGTAACGTTACTTTTATTCGAACAAGGCAGCGTACGGTTAAAAAAACACCGCAGTCATAAGTGGACGTAAGGTACAAAGCAAGTTTGAAACTTCATTTATTCTCCATCCTTTGTTGTTGTTAACCTTACGGGCGTTGGCGTCAGAAAGCATGACATTTGGTTACCGCCAATTAGTAAAGATGTCCCTGATTGGTCAATACGCTGTAGGTGCATTCTTGTGACCAATCATATGTTGGGATATTGGTTGAAGCCACGCCACAGAAAATGTCACTCATCTCAAAGTCTATGGTTAATCCTTATAAGTGAATAACTGGAATGGGAAAATGAAGAAGGAAGACAATATATTTTATATTAGGCACAACAAGCTAATTAACGTTTCACTTTGCATAACTACTTTACAAATCTGTCAAAAGTGTTGCTTTAAAAACATCTATAGCCATTACACTTATTTCAGCATCAGAATCAGAATACCTGTATTAGTCCCACAGAAAGATAATACGTTTACATTGTTAAAGCAAAAGTAAAGAGGACAAATATTAATTAAGAGTCATGCATAACATTTTAGAGATAGAAATTACACAAATTACAGCTCACAAAAAGTACCCATCCAGATGGACAACACTAAGTAGGCTACAGTATTTAAACATAAATAAAAATAATTGTAGCATGTGAAATAGTATGATAGCAGCCAGGGAATTTCAGGAAGGATACCAGAAAATAATGTCTTATACATCAATATAGCATACTCATTTTTATACATTTTTAGCCAGCATTGTAAATTGTGGCAAAAGGCAACCACTAGAGGGCAAAATGTTAATAATATAATACACTAAAATGTTTTCTCTAAGATTAAAGTGGTATTTTCCTGATCAAAGCATTGGGTTAAGGCTTTGGTCTTTAGCTGAATTGCTTTGTTTTCTGTGACATTTAATTGTGATGTAACCCTAACCCTAACCCATCATAATAATGATTTTATTAATATTATTTTTAACACAGCATGCAGATGATGCAAAACAGTGCAAGGCAGCATCATCTTTTAAGAAAGGTTCTTTTTCTCATGTCTTCCATCTGGCTGCATTCAAAAGAGATACATTATGTCTTTGTCAGGATATATGATGGCAAATTATAACAACTTCTGCAGTTTTTATGCGCAACAGCGTACTGTTTTGTCCTCAGTGACCCTGTCTGTTGCAGTCCTGTGTGGCTCCACAACTTACCCGCCTCCTCCATCCTCACCCCACCCCATCTTTCCCTTGGCTGAGCCTGGATAGCTGGCTCCACTATCAATTCCTTCTGTCAGCATGACTGCAAAATAGCTTACGTCACAGTCATTACTGGCTCTATAAAAGCCAGTGTATTTCAGATTCACTTCGCAGTCAACCCAGCTTCATTCCTAAAAATAGAGCGTCCCGTTTTCTGAAGTCATGACTTCCATTGGCTTTGACCCTTACTTCCCTTCTACTCACAAGAGGAGGGTAGTTGTGCGCAATGCAGGATATGGAGCTGGAGGAGGAATAGGATCTAGGTCTGCCTACTCCAGCCACTCCGCCCCAATGGCTTCCTATGTCTCTTCACGCAGAAGTTATCCGACCCATTCCCGAGCTACTTCCAGCTACTCCTCTATGCTTTCAGCTCCAGTGTCTGCAGCTGCCACCGAGCTCCGCCTTGAACAAGCAGCCCAGGTCAGCTCTGAGTTCAAAGTCTTAAGGACCCAGGAGAAGGCTGAACTGCAGGACCTGAATGACCGCTTTGTGAGCTTTATTGATAGGGTCCATGAACTAGAGCAGCAGAACAAGTTGCTGGAGACTGAACTCCTGATTCTCAGGCAGAGGCAGACTGAGCCATCCAACCTTCGCACCCTGTATGAGCATGAGATTCGCCAGCTCCGTGCTGCTGTGGAAGAGGCTCGCCATGAGAAGCAAGCTGCCCAGGACAACAGGGATGAGATGGAGGACGTGTTTACTAACCTCCAAAAAAGCTATGAGGAGGAAGTGCTTTGTAGAGAGGAAACGGAGGGCAGGCTCATGGATGCCAGGAAGGGAGCAGATGATGGTGCACTGACCCGGGCAGAGCTGGAGAAAAGAGTTGGGACCCTGCTGGATGAGCTTACCTTTCTGAAGCGCCTCTGCGAGAGTGAGATTGCAGAGCTGCAGGCCCAAATACAGCTGAGCGCCGAGGTTTCAGTGGAGATGGAGGTCATCAAGCCTGACCTTTCCGCTTCTCTCCGGGACATCCGAGTCCAATATGAGAAGCTGGCAAACCACAACCTTCACAAAGCCGAAGAATGGTTCTGTGACAAGGTGAATGTGATGACAGTAGGCACTTCTCGCAACACGGAGAGTGCACGTAATGCCAAAGATGAGGCTGCAGAATATCGTCGCCTCATCAAAGCCAGGGAGCTGGACATTGATGCCTGCCGTGAGATGAATCAAGCTCTGGAAAACCAACTTCAGGACGTGGAGGAGAAACAGAGTGCTGAGATCTCTGCACTGCAGGTTAGTGACCGAAATAAAGTAAAATAAAGGAACAGTGCTTGAATTATCCTTTCTATGGAAAATGTATATTGATTTTGGCAATTGAGGTAAGTCTCAACAGTTACAGAGCGTGCACTGATACCTGAAAAAAGAACTGATACACATCCTGCCCTAAATGTGCTATTACATGTGACTTTATCTTTTTCCGGCAGGATTCAATAAGTCAAATAGAAGAAGAATTGAGGGCCAACAAGAATGACATGGCTCGATACTTGAAAGACTACCAGGATCTGTTGAACGTGAAGATGGCCTTGGATATTGAGATTGCAGCCTACAGGTAAGGGATGCAAGTTGATTATATATTGTGCTGTAATTGTTGGATTTGACTTATTTACTTGATGTTATGTGACTCTTGTTCTTTTAGGAAGCTCCTTGAAGGAGAAGAGAACCGTTTCAATGTTTCGGGCCCAGGGTCCTTCAACGTTTACTCCCAATCCATGTACGCCACTCCTCCATCCTTTCGAAGGACTCAGTTCTCCATGCCGTCCCAGCTAACCTCTGCAGCTCCGTACATGCTGAGCTCCCGCTTCTACTCTAGATCCCTGCCCACAGAAGAGACAATATCCGCAAGCCAAGCACAGCAGGCGGAGGCCAGCCTGCCTCAGGAGGAGGATGAAGAGCAACTGGAAGAGGAAGAGAGGGAGGAAGTAGAGGAAGAAAAGGAGGAAGATCAGGGTGAAGAGAAGGTCCAGGAGGATTCAGAGGGAGAAGAGTTGGTGGAAGACAAGTCTGAAGAAAAGGAGGAGGAAGAGCAGGGAGAGGAAGAAGCAGATGGAGAAGGTAACCGTTTTTAATCTTTTCCATAGTGCATGTGTGTAGTAGTAAAGTCATTCTAACTTTTATTCTCACCCCACATTCTTTAGGAAATGAAGAGGGTGATGCAGAGGATGGAGAAAAAGAACATGAGGGGGAAGGAGGAGAAGACACCCAGCCTCAAGAAGAGGAGGATGCTGAGCAGAAAGAAGAACAGGGTGATGACAAGGATAAGAAAGAGGCGGAAAAAGCTGAGAAACAAGACGAGGTGGAGGCCGAAGAGAAAAATGGAAAAGCAACTGAGAAAAAAGTTTAAATTGAAATGCTTTACAAAGTCCCTGCTAGCATTGTAGCTGTAGGATGTCTTCTCCGGTGCTCTATGTGAGATACCTCTCTAATCCTGAAATTAGAAGACATCATGTTGGTGAAATTCTCGGTATTAACAACTTGACCAACAGCATGTGTGCAAAAGCAAAGAATCGAAACAAAATAAAAGCTAATCAATAATACAGGATGTTTCTGGTCGGGAGAGAAAATGTGGCTTTGAAAAGATTTGTTTGCAAACACCTGTGTGCTTTACTTTCACCAATATATGCCTCAATGCCTGTACTCTGTGTGCAACACCCGGTTTGAAAAGCCTTACTTCAAGTCCTCACCTAGTGCTTTAAATCCATGATGTGCTGCCTTCAATAAAGCCTTGAAGCCTTGTCAACCCAGAGCTGGCCCTTGAGTTTTTATTTGTACCAATAAACAGGAACAGTTGCCATGAACTGTCAGAAGAAGTCATATTTAGCACCACTAAACACATTAGCTGAAAATGATATTCAATGTCGAAGCTCTGTGACTCACTGCTAATTTTATACAGAATGTTGCTTTCTCACCAGAATGTTAATGGAGGTTAATGGAAAAAGAAATGAGATGGCAGCCAAGGAGCCTTTGGTTATATCCATATTGATAATTAAATTCACAATTAACAGGAAGGGAGGGCTGCAGCAAACTCAGCAGAAGACACCAAGCCACACCTTGACATTAAAATGCTTGAAAAAACAACATACTCAAAACAAAACACAGTATAAGGCTTCACTTTTTCAGCACTATCTGCCAACACAGCCTCATTATATTTCTCTGGACTTGGCTAAAAACAAGTAGTTTATCAGAAAAGAGTAACAATGGCATTTTCGTCTTTATCTTAAGTCTCTGCCCTGATGTGCCCGCAGTCTCTGTCTGATGGGTGAGCTGACAGCGGTGTTTTTCCTGCTGCCTCAAACTCATCCCCATCACTGTCCATAAATCAGGGCGCACTGAAACCTTTATGAGTCAGCTAGTCTGCTGCACCAAAGAGTCTGGCCAAGTGTCAACTCACGCAGGACAGTAAGAGAGAGCGAGGGAGAGAGGAAGGAGGGGGGGCAATTTCATTATTGCATTAGGGGGAGAGAGGTTGAGGAGGAATGAAGGGGAGCGAGAGAAAGAAGAGAAGCATATCCCGCTGCCATAAACCTTGACAGAGGACAGATTGTTTTGTTACCGAACAAAAAGGAGGTGAGACCAAAGGCTTTCTTTAGGCATAATGCAGAGACACAATCCTATCACACAAGGTAACCCCAAACACACACTCATCTCTTCTCACACAAACTGGTGTGAGCATCTTTTGATCAGGCACACATTGAATTATTGCATCAGCTTATAATCATAACTTCTTCTTCAATATGCGAGTTTCTTTGTTTTTGAACGTGTCAAAGCAATGCCCCAAACTGTTTGATCTCCTCTGTAGCTCCATCCTCGTTGTCCTCAGTTTACCCCAGCTAAACTACATTATCCTCCTCTTCGGTTGCTACAGTAAGACCAGGGAGCACTCAATTTAATTGACTAGAAATTCTTCTTTGCAGCGCATTTGGCTCTGCACACTCACACCATCCAGCACTCAAACAGATAGCAATATTGTAAATGTTTTCCTATTGATTAAAAATACACTAGCGATGCACTGCAGGCCAGATTTGAACACACAAACCACCCTGCAGACAGAATGCTAAAGTAGTGATAACTATTTTCATAACAGATACAGGAAACCACCAGGATATATCGATACTCTCTCAGGTGCTCATACAGTATCACCTGTGTCGTATAATGCAGCTATATTAGAGGCTTGCAAGTGTGTGTTTGTGGTTTGTTGGTGCATGTTAGGTCATGCTGGGACACCGATCCACAGTAAACATGACAAATCAAAGCTAAGCTGTATCGTTTTTTTTATCACATTTCATCTTTCAGAAATTGAGTTTTGCTCCGGTTCATCTGTCACATTTGGGATGTGAATGGACCGGTATATAAATCTTTTAACTCCCTCTCACTCCAGTGGGCACACACTTTGTCAGAGGGAGGGAGGCCCATCACTGAGGCCCACTGAGACCTCCCACACGTACAGTGCTTTGATGAAAAACAAAGAGCTGAAGGTGGAGCAGGCATCAGCAGCTCCTTTTAAGAAATATTACCCCAAAATACATTGTTTTCATAAAAACATAAAAGTTTAACTTCAACTACATTCAGGAGGTTTTTAACATATCAGTTAACTTCCAAACACGAGGACATATTTTTGATAGTCTGTTTATACTTCACAAAATGTAATCATTTCTAAACCCTAAATATGACACTTACAATTGTTCCTTGTCAGATATTGAAAAACTAACTTTGTACCACTCACCTGCTCCTAGAAAGCTAAACAAGAAAGGCTTGCTTGGTCCTCCTAGAGTCATGAAACAATGTTATCAGCTTTCAGTTACAACACAAGCATATTTAAATTCATGAGGAAATACAAGAAGAATACAATAATTTACTGTTTTGTAATGTCAGAAATGTAATCTGCAAACGAAAGCAGCAACATTTTTCTTTTGCTTTTGAACTAACAGCAGATTTGATGCTGAGCTGAAATGCTGCACTGTAGTGATCCCAGATTGATGGAGGCACCTGCAGTAGAAACACATATATTTACATCTTTTAATGAGTAAAGGAGGGAACAAAACACAGAAGAAATGCCATACACGTCTTTGGAAGGATCATACTTTCACCTTGAGAGTCAGCGTGAGTATGGTTTTTAACATTTTGGGTGGGTGTGCACACTCCTCTGCTGCTCAGGCCAAGGTCCAGACAGAGAGGGTGGTCACGCTGCAGTCTGCCTTTTTAGTTGTCAGACAGCTTTGTCTTCACAAAGAAAAGAAAGCTTAAGATAAGAGTTGTGGCTCCCTCTGCTGATCTCGGAGTATCGCCTAATTAAAAGGCTCTGTTGAACAAGCCTTCCCTTTGGCCCGGAAGACAGCAGACTGAGACTATTTCATTTAAAAATATGGCTCTCATGCTCTAAAAATAGATCCCCTCTTCTCTTGGTTTAGACATAGCTTCAGATGGACTTATGTGTGCACTAGGCCTACAAAGGATGCATCACTGAGTCAGATGGAGGTACATGAGGGAGCCTCAAGGCAAGTCCTTTCTCATGCAACACAATCTCGAAATTAGATGTTAATTATACACATAATACATATAAATGTGCTTATCTAAGTTACCTGCAGTAGCCTGATTTTGTGGTCACGCTTTAACACTTCTTGCTGTCATGATTTTGTTTTTGCATTTCTGTGCACAAAAATGTCTCGCATCAAAATATATTACATGCTTATATTATATAAGTAATTCATGTAGGTGTCAATATTAGCACATATAAATATTGACAGCTTCCACCATTACAGTTACAACATTGACGCACATACAGGATCTGATGTCATGCAGCAAAAGCTAAAGAAACGTTTATTTTATATAACAAACTGTTAAAGGAAAAAAATGTGGATATTCCTGAGCCATTAGTCAACTGCAAATCAAATTCTGCTCCAGGATGTTGAGACTAGTGCATTGACCTATCCGCTCTGCAGGACCAGGCTGTCACCTGATTCTTCTGCCAGACAGCCTGGTGGATGCCGAGGCCCAATTTGCCTCTGGCGTCATGCGGTTCTGGCAGAAGACCCATAAATGCATTAGGTCCTTTGTCTGCTTTTGTCTCAATAATTGAACCATCTTAGTGGGGGGTGCTATGAGAGGTGTTCAGATCCCTACCACTCACTTGTCTCAGGAGCAATGTAGTTCATTACATTGTAGGAATCTTAGTTCACAGAGTTTGGTGTTGTCCCCGACTGAATAACTCTGGAGTCAAGTCACGTTAAGATCTATTCAAATTATACATTTAATACATATGCATGCTTGACGAGCTAATTTTTTTTGCATCCCATTACAGTAAAAAGAACACAGGCATGTGCACTGGAGCATGTAACTCGCACAAACAATAATGCTCCAGAGTGTAGGAAGGTGGATGGTGAATAAGAAGCATATTTATTATAATTTCAGCTGTCTGTCATGCTAAATGTTCATTCATTATGTGTATGTTGGGTGACACACAAGAAAAGCCCTTAGGCGAAGTAAACAGACAGTAGCTTCATCTCTATTTTTATCTGCAATAACTACAGCCCACTCTTAACACAACACTTCTTTACTTTCATGCAGAAAGAAGTGAAAGCTATCAGTCTTTATGTTCAGCCTCTGTATACACATGTGAAAGTGTTCATGTTTACCTTGCACATTTGCACAAGATCAAATGACTAGGTCAGAGATGCACCTATTCAGCGAGTTTTAATGGAAGGATGTCTGAGATACAATCTGATCTGAATTAGAAGAGAAGGGGAAGTGGGAATCTCCTGTGAAGATTCAGCCTGTCTGGTCCTATTGCTAGTGGAGCCTTCAACTCAGGGTGAACTCCAGAGTTCAACTTGTCAAATTGTCACACACATTAATGCGAGGCATGCACGTACTAACACACACCATCTAAATGTAATGATTTATTCTTAACGATTCTAATGGGGAAAAGTTAAGCAAAGGTAACAAAATATTTTTTTAATTACATGCCACAACAAAGTGCAACACATTCTTGGGGTTTTACAAGGGAAGGTCTATTGTATGCAATAGCACACAGCAGTCAGGTGATGGCAATATTGTATTCCTTTTTGCAGATTTGATTGTTTTAAACTTTTAAAAGCCCAAAAGCAACTCCTCACATTTGATAATAAGTGTGAGAGAGTTTGCCAAACGAATAAAGAGAATGATTGTTGAAAAGGGCATGAGCTTATTTGAAGCCCCCCTTTCAATAAATGTAAAAGCCCAAACAGCAGGCACCTACAGCTCAAACTGAAATAGGTCACACTATTCATGTGTAAAAGCTCAAGCCATAACCTTGGAAATTCTACAAATGGCTGCAAAATTTTAGTAGCACATTTTCAGGATGAGCTCGTGAATATGTTTGAATCCTTAAGCTGTTTAAGGTGTTAAAAACATCACATAATCCATATGTGTTACATTATAATTATATGTGGTGAAAGAAGGCAACAATTCAAAAATGTAATTAACTTAAGGCAACGTCTTTTTAAAATGTCTGCATTGATAACAGTTCCGCCAGATAAACGT